TACCACTAGTAGTAGAGGATCTAATGGTAGCTCCGGCACCAACACTGCTCGTTCCAGAACTTCTGCTAGCCGTGGAAAAGCTTTGATCATCCGTGCTTTCATTGTGTTCAAATGAGGCGGGCGATAAGGTGCTGACCTGACCAAAGCTACCCACGCGATGGGCGCCAGGAGTACAATCCTCATCGGATAGATTCGGATCCACATCCGCCGGAAGATTCAGAGCATCATCTGATTTCTTGCTGCCATCCCTTTGTCTAGTAGAACTTCGACCCGAGCGCTTTCGAGATGAGCCGCTTTGAGAACGCGAGGATGAACCGCTTCGTCTGTTGGATGAGCCGCTACGTCTGTTGGATGAACCGCTTCGTCTGCTAGAAGACCTTCGGGTGATGGGTGACGATTCCTGTGATGGCGATGGCGATGGCGAATCAGAAGGAGGCTGCATTCGCTCCATCTTATCTTCCATTTCCGTTAAGTGAGAGGCTTTGGAGCTGCTTCGACTCGAGGATCTTCGGTGCCGTCTAGCGGATGAGGAGGAAGAGGAGCGATGCTGACGACTGCTGCTGCTGGTGCTTTCCGTGCTGTGATGAGACGAGCCATTCATCAGGCGAAGCTTCTCTCCAAGTTCCGGCATTACAGTCGCATTCTGCTGTTGTTTCTTATTCTTTTCATCACTGATGGACGTCTTGCTTGAGTGATCTCGTCCCATGCTGCGTATATTCCTTGATATTACGGTCGTGTCTTTCGTATATTTGCAATCGTCTGTTTTTTATAGTTTTGTTTCTGTGGAACTTGGATCGGCACGACAACAAAATGAATGCGGGAGCCAGGAGAGAAAGACTTCTCTGGAAGATGGCGTACCGGTAGATTCGCTAGTTTGATAACTCTGTGGGTAGGCGGAAAAACCTGAAGACGCCTTCTGTTCGGAAGCATGTATATGCGGATTGATTGATTACACTTCATTTTCGTTAACAATTATTCAGAATCGATTGAACAGAATCTTGTTCTGTAACATTGAGCAGAAGCCCACCAAACCACTAGAGAAGAACGAATGTTTGTGCACCAAGTTTCGATTGGGAATTAGATAAATGAAAAGAGCATTCAAAAAACGCTATCTCTAGATGTAAACTATCACACGTAAAGTCTCAGTCATTGTTGATCGTACTTGTAAGAGGGCGCGGGGTAGAAAATTGATGAATGTATTTTTTTTAAAAATATGTCGTCACTATTATTCCGTGATCTGCGCAAACACATCAGGCACACATGGAAAACAGGTGTAGAAGAAGCTCAAGACCAAAGGTACCGTTACCAAAAAGGCAAACCAAAAGCAACTGAGCAGAAAAAGTGTAATCTACATATATGATATCTTTCCAGCTTCTTGTTTGTTTTGACGTGATACAGTGTTAGTATACAGTGAGGTGAATATTAGGCTATCTTTTGATCAGACTGCGGATGGATGCTATCATTGGTCAACAAGAAGGAACCTATATGGGGATGACGCTTTTGAATCAGTCTTTCGACTCGATATCCTGTGGAACCATAAATTGTGAAATGCTTATAGAGAGAAGGTATTTCAAAACTAAATTTTAGAGTTATGCTCTTACAATATATACTAAAATCCTATTGGCATTGCGAGTAGGTTGGTCCCAGACTCGTGCACACAGCGGGTGGACAACAGCCGCTGACATCATTGGTGCATTCCGAGAATTTAACAAGTCCCTCAGTGCAAGAATCTACCTGCATCCAATGGGCATTGCAGATTTGTACGCAGGCGGATTGAGAAGCATGGCAATTGGCGACCAAATTGCCACAATTTTGATAATCTGTAGTGCAGCAATATGCTGCGCCTGATTCAGTCGTAACGGGTGCTTCAGATGGTTCCATTGTGGTTGGCATTGGAGAAGGAGCAGGTACAGGTGAAAGGGTAGGAGGCGGTGTAGGAGCCTTACTTGGAGTAATGCTCGGGAGCTCGGTGGGATCTGGAGCAGGTGCCACTGTGGGCGACCCTGTTGTTGGAACTAGAGTTGAGATGCTTGGGCTAGAGCTGGGCTCAGCCGTAGGTGTCTTGGTTGGCCCCTTGGTTGGACCTTTCGTAGGACTCTTTGTAGGAGCAAGTGTTGGCGTCCTTGTAGAGGGAGTTAATGTTGGGACTCCTGTTGGTTGTGGTGCGGTTGGACTTTTCGTAGGACTGGCCGTGGGAACTTGATTCGGACTTTTATTTGGAGCAGGTGCTTGCGTCGGTGCATTGGTTGGGTTGTTTGGTTCTGGATCCATTGTTGACATGGAAGTTTCAATCTTGCTGGTAGGCCCTTGTGTGGTTGCCGGAGTTTGAGGGCTGCCAAATGTCGGGCCCAGAGCGGAATCTGGAGCCTGGGTTGGTACAGCCGTTACGACTTCCAAAACAGAAGGAGCTGATGTGACGACAATGGAACTATTCGATGGAATGATCCAAGGAACAGAAGCCGTCTCGACTGGGTAGAAGTCCCCAAGCGCATTTACAAGTTTATCCCCGTTCATAGCACTTCCAATCACCTCCATGAGACTCACACTGGATTGTTCTTCCTTCAAGTACAAGTCAAGCACAAGAACGTAACTTCGACAGTTCCCATTTGAGCCATCACACTGCTTTTCTGATTCTTTCTCGACCTTACCATTGACAATGGAGTTGGTGGCGTTCTTCAGTTCATCCGTAATTGCCATGGTCGTATCAAAAAAGTCAATCGCCCCACAGCCCGCCATGATGGGTATGAGTTTTTCTTGGATATGATTCAACATGGCGCTGAAGAGCGGACCAAAGTCATTCTCGGAACCCAGTGTAATGTCAATTCGAATGTCAAAGGATTTCTGGATCAACGATTGCTGATCCCCTAAAAAGGTACCATTGGCTATTGCTTCACACTCTTCCTTGGTAGGTGGAATGTACACAACAACTACCTTGGCATTTGAATCTTCAGTATTCTTAAGTTGAGCTGGTGCGTCTTGTTTTCTGCCAAAGAGTAGTAGCATGGTAGTAGTGACACCAATGGCTATAAGAAATAAGGCAAATAGTACGATGAATTTCTTTTTGCGCTTTCGAGCTTCGGCCTCGTCAATGCCCTTGCGACTATTGTCATCATCATCATGAGCCACTGCCACAGCAATGTCAGTCCGAGCAACCTCGCTCATTGCTTCTTGGCGTCCTCGCTGTCTCGCTGCGTTCAGTTCATCTTCAATGTCCTGGGCAGCCACAGCTTCAACCATGGTATTTTCCGATACCGACCCCAAGGTGGACTCGATAGCATTCGATTGGCTTCCTCGGCTTCTGCTCGATCTAGGAGGTACTCCGGCCTGTAGATCCCTTTCTTCGTCGGAATGGCTGCCATCGCTTTGCTCATAATGCGAGGCCGGCGATAATGTACTGATACGACCCATGCTACCAACACGATATGCCCCAGGAGTGGATTCATCGATGGATAACTCGGAGTCCGTATTGTACACCAGGGACGCATTGTCTACTGTTGTTGCGTCGTGGGGTACTTTACCATCCATGTCAACACGCCTTCGATGCCTACCAGAACTTGAGCACGAGCGAGAACTGCGTTGACGACCAGATCGGCTGCTTCTGTATGCTTCTGAAGTATTCGAGGAAGATCTTTGGGATGTGGCATGATTTCCCCGGGATCCGTATTTTTTTTTCAATGATGATGCTGATGGTAAATCTGAAGCTTGCATTCTATCCATTTTGTCTTCCAATTCGTCTCTGACAGAAATGGAGACTTTGGAGCTCCGACTGGAAGATCTTTGACTACTCTCTCTATACGATGAGCAACGCTGGCTACTCCTGCTGCTACCGCTTTCAGTGCTCCGTTGAGAGCTGCTCATATCGCGAGGCTTCTCTCCAAGTTCAGGCAAAACTACATTATGCTGTTCCTTCGGGTCACTGGAGGTGGGTTCTCTGCTCGACTTTCGTCTCATGGTTTGGCTCTTGGATTGTGCAGCCTTGTTTGCGTCTTGACGATATCTTTTGTTGCCCATGATTGATTGTGATTTGGTTGAAAACACTAAGAGCGCAGGTTCCGTCATCTCACGATTAGCCAGGATATCAATGACTATTTCTGCGAACACGTTTGTGTTCCAGACTGTCTTGAATTCTTTTTTTCATGTTCGACCAAATACCGTCGTAGCGGATTCTTAGAGAATCGGACGGACCAAGGCTCGTCGTCACATAAATGTCAATGGACAGGCTGCCATGAGTGATTTCTGTGAATGAGCAGAATCAGAAAGCCCGCTTCAAATTACTTAATGGTGATGTCTTCCTGGCTGCTGAAAGCTGAAACGCCCCATTAGAATATCCGGTGAGAAAATGATTCGAACGCGGCGAATTTTGACCTCCTCTACACTGGTGACGAGAAGTTCGGGAGCGAGGGCGGAAAAAAGGGAAGAAAGGGAACGAGTGGATAAACGAGGGTAATCGGTACCAATCCTGGCGCAAACAAGGGAGCCCTGGCGCAAACAAGGGAGCCCTCCCTCGAACACTCCCTCGTTCCCTCATCTCATATTCATTTTAGCAATCCCTCGTTCCCTCGTTTACCACCATGTTCCCGTCCTCCCTTGTTAACCACCTTCCAGTTTAACGGTTCTCATATAGTCCGCAACTAAGAAGCACTGGCCATCCTATTTCTACGGTTCCATTTGAATTCAAACCTTTTGCTATGTAGTGCGTGCAATATTACAACAATGATAAAGGAAAATTAATTTACATTCGCTGTTACTAGTAGTACACATCTCATTTCAGTTCAACAGCAGATCATCACACTGTGTGTATGTTTCGCCTTGAATGCCTGGTTTCCATTCATGCTTGCGCCGCCAGTAAAGTGTTCAGTTGCGCTTGTGTTCATCAATCACAATCACATAGTCTTGTTTGATCACACGTAGTCTTGTTTGATCACAGGTCTGAAGCTCTTCGTGTGCAATCACACTTTTTGACTCCAGTCTGGTTTGACAGCTGGTCACTTGGATTTCCCTCTATTTCTCTGGCCAATGACGACAGCTCGAAACAAATCTAAAAATAACTGGCATCCTATATTGTACCTGTGCAGTAATGTGAAATGATTGCGGTTAGTGCAATCCAGGATTTAAGTCACCACAAGCATCCTTGACTTACCGTCTCATGTCCCAGACATCGTCCTGGTCTGATCCTTCAAGCGTCAAACATCAAAGACAACCCAAACTCAAATAATAAAAGTGTTTTCAAGATGTGATGAAGGACTACTGGTACCAGATACCTGGTGCCTACGGTACATTTGTACGTACTGATTTTTGCAGTACGATTGCACGCAAGCCTGCCCATATCATAGCCCATGCACATACATTTCAAATCGAACCGTTAACATTCGATTGAGTCGGATTTAAAAATTGACTCCTGTGATTTGATTAGATTGTATTCCTGTGGAAGAAACTAAGAGGTAACAGGCCTCGTCTCTTGCACCATATGACCTTGTTCCCATTACAATTTGTGATAAATTTCCGGGCGATATTTTTATTATGTATCTTTCCTAGATCTGTGCATACTCTGAATCAAAGTTCTTTCAGTAGAATCGATAATATTAAGGAATTCCACAAAGTCAATTGAGGAGTAGGAAAGGAAGAAAAAATTATGCTGGCCTAGAATCTTTTTTTTTTGCCAGAGCCCTCCAAACCACCGCCCAAATTCGATTACTATATGTATTTTGACAACTTTGAACTTGGTGCCATCGTGTCAGGGTATCGACTCGGCTACTGGGAAGGATTCCAGCCACTCTCTTTAATGAACCTGGATTGATCCTCAATGCAGTGTGAGTGCTATTCAATCATTTTTACCTAAAAAGCGTCCACTCCAAAGCCACCGATCTTCTCATACATACCCATGGACGACAAATATGTGTTAGAACAAGTCATTTTTAGGAAATTCGGCCCACACCACCACTAAGTGGCTTTTTGGACAAGATTTCCATGATTTCTGACCCCATTTGGGCGGCATGATTCTTAATCTAGGCGGAACCACTGCCTGGGTCCCAGAAAATTTGAGTATTAGGCATCCAAGGGAGGCTCTGGTGTATTGTTGAATAGTTGGCTGTCTCCAGGGCGGCCACACCGACCCTCATGCTGAAAGGGGAACAGACAGCACCAAACACTGGAATTCCAATATCTCAGCAAGTAACCCAAACAAAACACATCCGATTGGATCTCCGAGTAGGTAGGATCACTGCCGAGCTTTCCAACACATGTTGAATGTGAGGCATTGGCCCTCTTGACTTTCTGCCGACCAGTTTTTGCAACCTGACAGAACCAGTCGAACGAAACAGGGTAGATTGTAGTGTAATTGAGGCGATTGGAAGTATGAATCGCCACTCCAGCCATAGTCTATCTATCAATTACGCTTGCCACAGCATGTTCGGAGGTTTTTACTTCTCTGGGCGTTCACACTGGCTTGTCCAAACGTGGGGAACAATCGCACCATGGCACCTTGATGTGCTCCAAATCGTCAATTTTGGTAGTTGAGATCCCAAAAATATACATTTGCGTAGATCTTGGTCTTGATGGTGACGGTAGATATGAGTCGCATTCGTCAAATACGTCTTCTTGACACCTATCCGTCCAGTCTAAGCAACAAACAGAACCAATCATGGTGGATTATTGTGTGATTGCGGCCCAGCAAACATTATTCAACATAAATACCGCCACTCCCGACGTAACGCAGGTATCAATTATGCTTGCCACAACCTCTAATTCCACTTTCTCCGCTCATGGGGTCCAGACCGTGCAATTTCATTGTCACCGACGAATTTGCAACTCAATGGTCTCCGTTGAAAATCGTCCTGTAGAAACCCATATAAAAACACATAAAATGGTATCATTGCCTTTCGTATAACAAGAGAAGTAACTTCCGCAGAAAATTCGAGCTCTATGTTGCCTTGGGACTTCGTAGACGTCCCGAAACCTCTCCAAAAGTAGTTTTCAGACCTTTTGGAGGTACTTCAGCAGTGATTTCAGAGGCAAATAGGGCAAATTCCTCCATGTCGCTTCGTATACACAAAATATATATGACTATAATATAGACAATGTCAGGGGTTCGAGGGAATTTCTAGCAGTGGATGATGAGTTCATTGGCCTCAAGCTTACCATTTCCACTTTTCAAACGGAGACATCAAATAAATACGTCTGCGCAATGGATATCGGTGGAGACATTCGGAGCTCGCAAGACCTCTTCACGATGTCAATTTATTCATGTGCATCACTTTCGCGGAAAATACGTCGATCAAAAAGCGAAGAATCAAGGGAATGAGGTTCGAAGCGAGGGAGAAAGGGAGTTTTCAAGGCAAAAAGGGAGTTTTCAAGGCAAAAAGGGAATAAGGGAGAAAACAAGGGAAAAAACGGTTGAATGCTGGACGAAACGTCCCTTGTTCCCTCGAATGCTCCCTCGTTCCCGAACTTCTCGTCAGCAGTGTATCCTCCACACTTTTTTTTTATATTACCGGTATATCCATCTCGATATTAATAATCAATCCTCTTTTGCATTTTCTTTTTTGTATCCACTCTTGAGTTACAGATATTAATGCGATTGATTGATTCATTCAGCGGAACTACAATACGGGTAGGAGAAGGGGTACTGTAGGACGACCTGGCTATATTTTGATATTAGATACTGTAATGGAGTAAATATAGAGGACAATTTAAGCGGGTCCATGATGAGACGCGGGGGACATTAGAAAAAAAGAGAGCAATTATTTTGATAGGTATACATATGATTAATCATAATGTTTTATGGAAAAGTGAGCTGAATGCAGGCAGTGCAAGATACAGAAAGTGGCAAACTGTAGCGTTTAGCTTCGTGATAATTCGAACAGCCATATTATATATTCTCACAATGAAAATGCAACTGCCAATTGGAATCCACTTCGAAAATGTTTTTAATACTTGGGATCTATTACCTTTAACAGCCATCATTTGCTGTCTCACAATATTGTACTTCATTTCCTGCCTTCAACAAACGTGACAAAACGGACCTTTAGTATTCGAAGTGAGGTTCACTTGAAGTGTTGAAGGGCAGTTGGTGTAGAGAAACGCGTCACTAACATCAGCACTGCTCCGGAGGCTCGAGCCCCAAGGACAAAGATTTTGATTGAAAGATGATGCTCTGTGGAACATTTTATCCATTTTAGTCACCGAAGGAACATCCCACGATGACAAGTCTTGGTTGAAGGAGACTGCTCCATCGAACATTCTAGTCATTGAAAAAACAGAAGAGACGTCCCAAGATGACAAATCTTGATTGAAAGATGTTGTGTTGACGAACATCCTGCTCATACTTTTCGCGGAAGAAACATCCCATGGTGATATGTCTTGGTTGAAAGAAATTGCATCTTCAAACACTCTGAACATATTTCTGACCAAAGACACATCCCATGATGACAAATCTTGGTTGAAGGAGGATGCTCCCCAGAACATTCTTGGTATTTCCCGAACGGACGAAATATCCCAGCTACCAATGGCTTCGTTGAAATCAGTACGATCAAGAAAGAGGCTGTCCATGCTAGTGACACCCTCACCAAAGCACCAGTCCCCTATCAGTCCATATCGGGCCTCAACTGATGCCTTCAACTGAGCAGACGCAAACCAGTCGTCGACCGTATTGGTGAGCTCGGTGTTATTTTGAAAGCATAGATAGTGGGTTGGTGACATGGAAGGCTGAATTGAGGGCGACGGGGAAATATCAGAAGTCGATGGTACCGGAGTGGGTTGAGATGAAAGCTTAAGCGTCGGCTCAGCTGTTGGTGATAGAGAAGTTATCGAACTCGGTTCATCTGTAGGTGACTTGCTAACGACCGGAGTGGGCAAGGCAACTGGGGCCATTGATGGACCTTTGGTAGGATTCCTTGTTGGGGCAAATGCTGTATCTCTTGTTGGTTGAAGAGTTGGTCTTCTTGTTGGACTTTGTGAAGGAACTGAAGTTGGACGATGAGTGCCCATTCTAGTTGGAGTTTGCGTCGAAACTCGAATAGGGGCATTCGATGGGCTATTTGGTCCCGAATCCGATGGTGTAGAAGGCAGATCAGGTACAATCGTTGGTCTGATAGTTACAACCTTGTTCGTAGGGATGTTTGTACCTCCATATGTCAGTGGCATTTCAAATGTCGGAGCAAAAGTGGGTGCTATGGATAAAATTGGAGCCGTACTCGAGTCTGAAAGTTGCGTTGGTACCCCCGTCTCAAGACCCAGAACAGAAGGAGCTGATGTGACGACAATGGAACTATTCGATGGAATGATCCAAGGAACAGAAGCCGTCTCGACTGGGTAGAAGTCCCCAAGCGCATTTACAAGTTTATCCCCGTTCATAGCACTTCCAATCACCTCCATGAGACTCACACTGGATTGTTCTTCCTTCAAGTACAAGTCAAGCACAAGAACGTAACTTCGACAGTTCCCATTTGAGCCATCACACTGCTTTTCTGATTCTTTCTCGACCTTACCATTGACAATGGAGTTGGTGGCGTTCTTCAGTTCATCCGTAATTGCCATGGTCGTATCAAAAAAGTCAATCGCCCCACAGCCCGCCATGATGGGTATGAGTTTTTCTTGGATATGATTCAACATGGCGCTGAAGAGCGGACCAAAGTCATTCTCGGAACCCAGTGTAATGTCAATTCGAATGTCAAAGGATTTCTGGATCAACGATTGCTGATCCCCTAAAAAGGTACCATTGGCTATTGCTTCACACTCTTCCTTGGTAGGTGGAATGTACACAACAACTACCTTGGCATTTGAATCTTCAGTATTCTTAAGTTGAGCTGGTGCGTCTTGTTTTCTGCCAAAGAGTAGTAGCATGGTAGTAGTGACACCAATGGCTATAAGAAATAAGGCAAATAGTACGATGAATTTCTTTTTGCGCTTTCGAGCTTCGGCCTCGTCAATGCCCTTGCGACTATTGTCATCATCATCATGAGCCACTGCCACAGCAATGTCAGTCCGAGCAACCTCGCTCATTGCTTCTTGGCGTCCTCGCTGTCTCGCTGCGTTCAGTTCATCTTCAATGTCCTGGGCAGCCACAGCTTCAACCATGGTATTTTCCGATACCGACCCCAAGGTGGACTCGATAGCATTCGATTGGCTTCCTCGGCTTCTGCTCGATCTAGGAGGTATTCGGGTCTGTAGATCCCTTTCTTCGTCGGAATGGCTGCCATCGCTTTGCTCATAATGTGTGTTTGGGGACAACGCA